CTATAGAGGAGCCCTTGAAGTCCTATGTCACATCTTGCCATGGAAGAGTTAAAACAGTATGCTTCCTTTAGAGTCCTGGTGGGGCATCAGAGGTCATCAATGCAGCTCAGCCATAGCATTTGCACTGCATAGCTGGGGAGGTATTGGAAAGCGTTCAGCAGAGTGATACTGTATGGAAATAGCTGTAATTTCAAAAGCATATGCTTACGTTATAAGAAAAGACGCTTATAAAGAGCCTGTCACAGAAGTCATAAAGGTCATTACGTGTAGGATCAGCATGCCATTCCCATACACAACATCTTATGAATCACAGGTTACTCTTCTCCAAGAAGAAATATGCCTAGATGAAGTATGCAAGACCTTTGATCTGCTTGTACCCTGTGTATCGCGAAGTGCCATTCAGCAGTGCACTGAGAGACTCTCCCAGGCACTGAGGCTGTTTGTATTGGGATCTGATCATGAATTTCCCCCATCAAGACTGTTCCCAAATACACCTGTCTGCATCCCACCACCACATATTTCACTGTAGGAAATTCCTGTGGTAATGAAGTAACATACCACAGCTGCCAGAGAACATATCTTTCAAACTTTTTTCAATTGCTGGAAAGAAAATTATTCTTTGCTGAAACAATTACTGTCATCCAGATATCTAAAATGGAAATTGCTGCCTATCCTGTTCAGATTTCACAGGATCAGAATTTCCTTCTAGCACCAAAGATTTTGAAAGTCCTGCTGCTCTGATAACACATTTCCTTTTACTATTCACATATCAGGGTTTCAAGATAATGACTTATGGAACCATTATTGTAGCACTCAGGGCATGTAAAAATGTTGGCACCTACCTAGAAAGCAGCATGAGTAGTATACAAATGTCACTTTCCTCATATTTCCAAAACTCTTCCTTCTCTATTTATAGGACAGGGACATACAGAGGTCTCAGATGTGATTAGGACCCCTTTGGGCTGGCTACTGTACAGAGAAATGTGAGAGGACCCTATTCCTCAAGAGGATACTCACAGCAAAGACACAGCAAACAGGGAATCTGATGGATTTGTAAGAAGCATAAAATCATCAGTGACCTAGGCATATAGTGCCATGATATAATTAAAAAATTCCCTTGCCTTTTTATAGTACATATTTTTGATGCCTTCAGTAGGACCCTGGCATCAATAACCTCAGCTTTCTCATCATCTCCACTGTTAAATACAGCTCAGGACCCTTTCCAAACTGAAAAATTTAGTGTGACATAGGAAATGCTGATACCACTAACTACTATCTCTGAGGCATCCCTGTTTTCATGCATTAGTGTGGCAAGACACATGGCAGAAAGGGATTTATCCCCCTCAAAACCTCCTAGACTGTACAGGTTACTGATCAAAAGTGCAAGGAGAAGAGAAAAAAATGAGCATTACATTAACTTTACTGCAACTAAATAGATCAGTGAGCGGTAACTGCCTCTTACTTCACTCCCCTTGCAGCCACCTCCAATAGTGTCAAGACTCAGGCATTCCATCTAAAAAGATGTATCTCAGCAGGCTGATATTGCAGGTTCACAGCCAGTAAGAAGGCCAGTACTTCTGCACCATTGCTCTGGAATATACTGTGTAGAAGCAAGTAATTCACCTAGTGCATGGACTGCCCTGCCAGCTTCTGTACCTTTGCTAGACAGTGCTCAGGACCTTACCTGTGGCACATGCAGATGCTGAGCAGCGCACAGCAGATGATTTTCCTTGGAGGCAAGATCCCATCACCTCTTGGGGGCCTTTTGCTATGTGAGATTTCAGTCTCTCAAGGGCCACAGCCATCACACAGCCATCTTCAAGTCACTTAAGGACGAATTGACAGCATTTTTCCAGCTGTCCTGGGATATGTGTTCCTGGCCATGGCAATAGAAGATATGTAAAGTCATCATAGGATAATGATATAAGGATGAAAGATAACACCATCATTATCTACATTAGTTGTGCCACAAAATGCTATTATAGGAACACAGGTGAAAATTGTAGCAGAGCAGATTTTCCACAGCACTCTGTCTCAGCATTAAGAAACCTGCCACTATGTGGAACAAATTATGTGGGTTATATTTACCAGACCTTGGAGGGGAGCAGATAAGTCACACTTCCTAATAATGAACTCTGAGGCCAGGTACAGGGTGTTAGTGATAAGTCTGCCATTTATGCCTGTACAAATGCAGAGCACCAAGCACTGAAAGCCACCATTAACCTCTGGAGTTTTAGTGAGTTACAAACCCAACAGAACTTTTGAAATATGTCATGCATGGAGCATGACAGAAGTGTAAGGAAGGTCTTCAGTCCACAATACTCAACAAAGTCCTTGGAAGAAATTGCCTTTGAGCAATGCCTGGGAGTAAAATGAAAGCCACCTCTTTGGACTGACATAGCGACACTGCAAGATGCTTTTAATGCAGTTTAACTTCCCTTGTGTGACAAACTTAAAGAGAAAGGTAAACAGGAGGACTGAGAGAGCACTTGTGAGACTAATCACAACTTCTGAGGTCCAAATTCACAAGTTTGTTACTGAAGCAGATTTGCAGTTTAGAAGCTTTTCTATTAGGTAGTTTTTCTATTAGGTACTTTTAAAATGCTAAGTACCTAATAATCTGTTTAATTAAAATAGTCTTTTATATCTGTAGATAGTAAGTCAGCTGAGAGCTGGAGGTAAATTTGCTCAGAGTGAATTTGCAAAGTTTTGTTCTCCCTATTGAGGAGGTGTCAGGTGTGCAGGGGAGGAAGTTCTGTAGCAGTTAGAAAGGAGGGTCCTGCTCACAAAATCTACTGCCTCTGAGATCCAGAGAATTGGGCCAGTTGTGTTGCTGCTACCACCCTCAAGAGACCCATTAAAATTAGTTGCTAATTTTCTGAGTCATTAAGGCACGTGTCATTGTCAGAAAAACTCCTAGTATCAATCGTGTGGTATCCAGCAAGCCTTGGGACCTGGGACAGACTAGCTCAGAACTGTGTTCACAAACTGTCAGCATACAGGGAAGTTAGGTGCATTTTTTTTCTCTGTTTTGTAAAACTTTTATAATCCCTAAACATCAGGAAATGCAAATGTTTATTATCAATAGTCAAAGTTCTACCATAAGTATTTTTAAATAGAATATGCTTTTCAGAATTTTTAAAATACAATAGAAGGAATTATGCAAGTGTCCTCTAGTTGGCAATCTCTCTTTTACTCTTTTATATGTGTGACGTGTTTTAAAGCCTTAGTCTGCACTTGGATCCATTCTCTTAGATCCTGGATTGAACCCCATTAACATGTCAGGCTATAGGACCACTGATTGGAAGCTGGGGCAGTTTCCCCTTTCAAACATGCCACGTATCAACTTGCAACTTCCTATGTGAAATGGATTTAACGCTAATAGCAGTCCATTTCAGAAATTACCCTCACCTTTCTGACATACCTGTGTTGGAGAATGCATTAGATTTGGAAGTCCTCTGCAGCTACTTTTTTCTTTTAAGATCATTTACCCTGTCATACTATAACAACACAAACATTGTACTCTATGTTCTTGAGTTAGCATTTTGAGGGTTTCCCCTTTTCTTATGGCTATACATCTTGACCTTTGACATCTTCTTGTGGAAGAGAACAATGGTTGAAGAAGCAGTCGTTTCTTAACTGCTTTAGGCAGAGGTCAGGCAGGGCGATAAGCTGAGAGTCAAGGTAACAATGCAGCTGACCATCCCATTGTGAGTGCTTTGTGTGTCAGTGAACTTGATTCATACTTAGTATGAATAGAGAAACATTCAGCTATTTCAGGAATGTCAGCAATTTTGTCTTAAAGAAACTTTGATCTTGCTCCAGTTTCCCAGGCTCATTCATTAGCTGAGAATATGAAGGGTAAGATAGGTTCTCTCTTCTGGGAGACTGACTGCCTGCTACTTAAATAAATCACCTGCTTTCTCCCTAACCCTAACCTGTCCCTCTCACAATAAAACAGTCCCTCACAGGTCCTCTTGTCATACTGTGAAACTTTTACTCCAAGGAAATCTCTCTCTGATGCATGGGCTGAGAGGAATGCCTTTGATTTTTGAAACTGAGGGTCAGATTTTATAAACATACCACCCCAAAGCTGATCAGTCCCCATCTACTCCCCCAGTAACTTGAGACATGCTAGTGACCTTTTGATACTTCTGACAATGCGGAAGTCAAAAAAATGTCTATCCTTCCATAAAAAAAGAAGGGCTCTTGTCTTTGTCCTGCCAGCTCTATGTGTTTTGAAGTGCAGAGCTTTCTGTTCTTTCTCCAAGGGCAAGCTCTCTTGCATTGGGATGGCTGCAGTCATCTCCAAGCCTGCCCAAGCAGCATTAGCACCAGCAAGGCTGAAGTTTTACATGCTGTTTGCTCTCTCACCCTCTCTGAAGCAGAAGCACGCGCAGAGGAACATCTTTCTGGGTAGGGTTTGTAGCAAGGGGCTATTTTTCCTCTATTCTGATTTGGGATAAAATAAATATTCTAAGCTGTCTTTTATTTTCACTGGTACTTTAATAATACTTTTACAACAAAGGCACTTTTTTCTAAGGATCTTATTTTTTTTCTTTCCAAAATAATTAAAGCTCATTTCCCACCTCCCTTTCTCTCCCGCTCCTGCTGTGAAGCAGGAAGTCACCTTTTAAAAGAATGTTAAGTGAGGTAGAGAAAAGCTAATTGATTCATCCAAAGGTCAGAGGGTGTTGGCAGCTGAAGGATAGAATTAAGAAGAGCATCCCAGGTCTTCTATGCTGGCCTTCAGAACACATGCTCTGCCTCAGCTTTCCTCTATGGCACCACCTATGTTTTTCATTTCCTCTCAGTTTATTTTATCTCAGATCCCAGTTTTTCAGCCTTCCAAATTTCATGGCTTTGCAAGCAACATGTTCGTGTTCTCAAACAAACACCCAGAACTCACTAACACAGTTGTTAAGTCTTGTAATCTTACACATACTTACCTTAGGAAAAGAAATCACAAGCACACTTGTTCAAACAGTTTTTGTGCCAGATTTCCTCAATTTTAATCTTATAAAAATGTTTCATCTACACAAAGGGATTCAGAAACATATTTAAGAACATTTTCCAAACATTTTTTAAGATTACCGTTAAAGCATTATAGTTGCCAAGTGATGAGATTCTGGAAAAAGTGAAGACAAGATCCTACAGCTCCATCTCCTCAAAGCCTGATCTCTGCGTCTTCTCTCATTTCAGCAAAGGCTGAAAGCTGTGAAGCAGAGTCCCTGGGTCTGTTAGGCGTTTTTAAGAGCCAGTGCTGACTGGATGCAGAACATGTGTCAGGGTCATCATAAAGTCAGTCTTTTGGGATGTGGTGAAGGCTGATTCTGTAATTATCCATCTACATGCAATATGGGTCAATACTAATGGGAAAGAAAGCCATTTTTCTGCTTACCACCTTGGGTAAAATCATCCCTGTGGATGCCAGAGGCATTATCTTTTGTTCTTTTTATAGCTCTGTAGTGAAAATCATGATATCTTTTACTTGCTTCCAAAATGGTGTAGTATCAGAGAGCAAAAATCATACTTTGTGATCCTAAAAGCAGCCTCTCCCAGTGCTTTATATGTGTAAGGAGAAGTGCTACAGGGAGGAACAAGATTCTCTTCTTATCTGAACACTGCTTTTGAAACTACTTAGCATGCAGCTTTCTTGGACAATAGATGTATTTTCCCCTGTGAGGCAGGAGGATCTGCTACAGTACTGCTCTGATGCAAAATAAATCAAATCATTCAAACATGCTGTAATAAAAATACTTGCTTTGAAGTACAACCTTAAATGCCTAATTTCCCAGTGGTAACAATGATGCTTTATCATAGGGTTTTTTCCTTCAGTCTGTTTTCTCTGTCCAGTTGTTTTGTTAACATGTGTGACTGTCTAACGACTGGATATTGTATTCCAGATGTTTTGGCAAGTGAAAGCACTAAACGATCATATGCATCCCAGAAACCTTATACCACCCAAGTAGCTGTTATGTCAACTGACTAGCGTAAGCCTACCAAGAAAATTCCTCCCTCTTTCTTCCCCTAGATGGCTGCTAACCCTTTAGTCATCAATACAAAATGACAGAAATTCTTTTCCACAGCTACTATTAAAGAAACATCCACGGTGGGGGGTATAAAGCCTCATACAAATGAGATCCATGTGGTTTTGATGAAGAAAAAAAAGGTATTTTAATTAAATAATGAGCTCAGGTTCTTTTCTGGTGAACACAATGATCAGCTCAATGATTAAAGGTATATTTGGACACACATACATGCACACATGCGCATATATGCATGCAAAAGTACTTCTTTTGCAGGCTGTTTACCGTACTATTGGTTTTGATCTAAGATTTTTTCCTGCAGGACAGCAGAAGTATCAAGAAAAGCCATCAGTAGCATTTGTTTTTTTCGAAAGCCAACATCCTAATTTATTTAGGGTGGCTATAGCTTTAGCTGCAGCTACGCCAGGAGCCAACAAAGATGCAAAAGAGTTTTCCGTTCTGCCCCTAAACGTGATTCGGTCATCACAGTCTGAAGTACAAGCATGTATTGCTCTCTGTACTCAAGATACATGTGCTACAATATCAGAAATGTTAGAGATAAGAAAAGTTAGGCGGCCTACACTACAAGAGCCCCCTACAGCACGGGAAGGTATCCCAGGTCACGCACAGTTCTCCCCAGATTAAGAAATACCCCTTGGGTAAAGTTAAAGGTTTTGTTATGCTTTCCGTGGGAATAATTCCCGGTGTGCTGTCATTGCACCATGCAGTTACGTAATGATATATTACATTGACCAGAGAGACGTCCTGTCTCTTTATTCTACCAGGTGTATCTAAGGCATAACTATGCACATACTGCAGTTAAACCTAACACAGAAGTCTATTTTTACAGACCCAAAAAGATCAAATTCTGAGGGTTCTATTGTAGCAAATTTTTGTACTAGGATAACTCAGGGAAGGTTGGTTGCATTCAATTTCAATTCAAACACCCAGTGTCCAGTACTGATGTGAGTAGCTCGTTCTCAAGCCAGTCCCATATCAGCAGTCTACTGTAATGCCACGAATTTGTCTGCATCTATGGAAAGGCTCACTAAACAAGTCTGAAATGGGTCTGTAGGAGTTGCTGTAAACAGGCAGATGGTATCTTGACCCATGGCATTTGCTAAGGTGACTCAAGCGTTGTGTTCTGGCTGCACCATGAACACCTCTACGATCATCATCATCAGGATGCTGCAGATGACAAAGCAGGTTTGACACAGCGTGCTGGAAGCCATCGCATTTTGGAATCTGTGGAAACACAAGCAAACCCTTGTCCCCAGGTTATTAGTGGAAAAGGATCTTTCCAATCTCCTGATTCTAAATCTTTTATTTTCACCAGGGCTTTGGTAGGCTTCCCGCTGGGGGTTCCTGTCGTTACTAAAGCAAAATGACAAATCAGGGGAGGTACATCAGAACTACCACAGTGTAAAAAATTTAAAATATAAAATGCTTTGGCCAGCTTTTCTGCTGGTTGTACTAAATGCCCCTTTTTCTGTTTAAGGAGCATGTCTTTCAGTATGCAATGGGCATGTTCAACAATGTCTTGCCCATTAGGATTGTGGGGAATGCCAGTACTATGGTGAACACCCCAGTCTTGCAAGAAAGACTGGATGCTTGAGGAAATATAGGCAGGGCCATTATCAAATAGGCAAAAGCCATAAGCCAATGGCGGCATACATCATGAGCTTTTTCACCGTTGTGAGCTGAGGCAAACATTGCCTGAAAAAGTATCAATAGAGATATGAACATACTTAAAAAGACCAAAGGAAGGTACATGGGTGACAGATTGCCAATTCAAGGGCTCCAGAACCCTGAGGATTAACCTCGAAAGCAGGTGCTCCAGATCTAATACTTTGACAATCTGGACAAGCAGTAACAATATCTCTTGCTTGAGATTTTGAATTGGCATACCAGTGCTTTAGCATTCTGATGAAAAAATGCCTGTGCCAATCAGGCTTGTTGACAATGCGAGGGTGTAACAACTGCAGGAGCTCATGCAAAAGAATCAGCAAGTGCGTTACCTTCTGCAGTAAAGTTAGGTAACTGCATATAAGATCTAACATGCATCACAAAAAATTGACAAGGCTGCTGTTTCAATAACGTCTGAAGCTGCTGAAATAATTTTGCTAGTGGAGATTGGTCAACATATTTCAAATAAGCACCATCCAAGTGGGGTAACAAACCTACAATACAAGCAGAAGATTTACTGGACAAGTAGACCATGTTTCAAAAACCCAAACTACAGCAACAAATTCAACAATTTGAAGTGATCCGTTGGCATGGAGTACCTCAGAACACCATTTGTCATATTTGTCATTCTGTTTCCGTACTATGGCAGCTTTTCCTGTTTTCCCGGAGCCGTCTGTGAAAACTGTTTGAGCTTGGAGTGGTAGAGGGCTGCATTTCGGTTCCAGTCGGATCTGAAAATCTCAATGCAACAATTTATGTTTTGGTACATGATGAACAATTTGTCATGAAAATCCTGCAACAGCGCATTGAAAATCATCAGAATAACAATACAATTGTTTTAACATATTTGTAGGGACCGGTAGTGCAATAACCATAGCGTCCATTCCTGTTAAAGTTCTGCAATGAGTGCACCCTCGATCTATTAATATTGCATACATCTCTGGTTTAGTAACAACAGTTTTCCCAAATTGATGTGGTAAAGAAATCCATTCTAAAATTAACGATGGGTCCTTTAATAGTTCATTCCACTGAAATAAAAGGCCTTTTGGCTGAAATTCAGGAGCTAGTACAGCAAAAGAAACAGTTAGGTCAGGATCCCATTGGTTTGCATGACGCTGAGAAAATTTTGTGCAAATATCCTGTAATGCATGACGTGCTGCTGGGGTGAGAGACTGTCCAGATGTTAAGTCACTATCGCTTCTTAACAAATCAAATAAAGGATGTAACAATTCATTTGGAAGTCCCAATAGTGGATGCATCCAGTTAATAGATCCTAACAGTTTCTACAAGTCATTTAAAGTTGTTATGGATACAGGAATTGTGAGTGACTGAGGATAAATAGAATGATCAGTGATTTTCCACCCTAAATATAAAAAAGGTGTTGTCCATTGAATTTTTTTCAGGGGCAACTTCTAAACCATATTTGCTAATTTGACTCTTAATATCCTGTAAAACCTCTTCTGTCTCATTTTGTGAGGGTGTGGCAATCAGTATATCATCCATATAATGATATATGACACAAGAATGAAATAGTTTTCTGGTAGGGGATAAAACACATGCTACAAACCATTGACAAATTGTAGGACTATTTTTCATCCCTTGAGGTAACACTACCCAATGATACCTTTGGTAGGGTTCCTGCATATTTTTGGAAGGCACTAAAAAGGCAAATTTAGGAGCATCATCTGGATGCAAAGGAATTGTGAAAAAGCAATCTTTTAAATCGGTAACTACAACATACCAATCATGGGGAATCATGGTTGGTGAAAGGAGCCTGTGCGGAAGAGGTCCCACAGATTCAAGCACAGCATTTACTTGTCTCAGGTCTTATAGCAATTGCCACTTCCCACTTTTCTTACGAATGACAAAAACTGGAGTATTCCAGGGACCTGTGCTTGGGATAAGCTGGCTTTTACTGCACTATTCTGGTACTAAAACATGTAATTGTTGCAGCTTTTCATCGGGGAGGGTCCACTACCTATACAGGTCTTTCTGTAATCCATTTCATTTTTAGGGTATGCAGTGGACCAGTGGCCCTTAGGATAAATTTGTGTGCAAGTTCACACCCCATTGTCCCAAGCAATCTCAGTCCCACAAGGTAAATGGAACAGCCATTATAAAAGGTTGTAGGGTTCCTACATGACCCTTAAGTCCTGTAATTTAGATATGACTGCAACTTTGGTCCGGGACTGCCAGGCCACCGACACCACTTACTGAAGCAGCAGCCGGGCTAAGAGGCCAGTCAGATTTGGAGACAATGGTCACATCAGCGTCTGTGTCTATCAGGCCTTCCACATTGACAACTCTTTTGTTATAAATCAGAGTACAAACAAATGTGGGTAGTGAGTGTGTTATTTTTTGTGCCCACATAATTTGCGGAGGACTGGTCGAACCAAAACCATAAGGGCCCCTAATGGTTTGTTCAACATTCAGGATAAAAGCATCAAACAAAATTATTTGTGCAATAGTAGTACCTCTTAAAATTGTACATGGAGGATTAGGGGTCCAGACCATGATTTTTATCTCCCCTGTATAATCAGCATCACCTGTGGATAAATTCACTCCAGCGCTCCCTCTGGTCTTTGCACAGAGGTCTCGAGCCTGGGTGGCTTGTTCCAAAGTGCCACCACAGTGGGAAAATTTTGCTATCAGAGTGCCTCCCCTCCAGGCACCTCCCTTCTTGCTGTTTTGTCATATCAGAAATCCCTACAATTGAGCATAATGACTGTCAGTTCTGCCATTGCCTGTGAAGATAAGTAAAGGTAGATTTCTTTCTCACACCTCGCTGGGTTATGGCAAACCCTTGGCAGATCAAATGCCAGATCTTCTGATTCAGTGAGTGGCAGAGAATGCATTACTTCATTGCCTAATTGTTGATAACGTAGGGCTTTATGGGGGAAGATATGGTCAAAACATGCATTGAAATAGGTAGAACAACAGTGGAGTAGAAGAGAGATGGGCAATGAAACCTGAGACTGGACAGTGACCTTGGAAGTGAGGGATCTAACCTGAAATCTTATCCAGAAGATGTCAATTCAAAGATAAATGTCTAAGTAAAAACCACAGGCAAAGAAAATTATTTTAGCCAATGGAGTAAAAAGAGAACAAGATTGAGATCATCTGCAGAAGAGAAAAATGCTTTATGAGAGGCAAGAAGCAGCAGAAATTATGGATAAACATTTAAGTAGAGAGAATGGAGGAAGAGAGACAGACACAGGAAGAGAGGGTCAGTTTTGGTGTAGAATAGCCTAGCCTGGAGTTTGACAGCCCAGTATTTTTACACGGCACAGCACAGTGTCACAGACCATGACAGCTTCTCCAAGCAAGGCTGCTCTTGGCTTTATATGCCCCAGGACAGAAGTAGCAGGAGTTGGATATCAGTGGAGAAGGAATCGACATCAAGGCTGTGAAAATGTGGGAAAGCTGAGGCAGAGAGATTTTTCCTGCTCCCACAAGTATAGCTTTTGCCTTCTGTCATCTGTATCCAGGGACTTCCTTAGGCCAAATACCATGCTCCCCTAAACTTCACACCCACCAATTATGGCACAGAGATGATAGAGCTTTTCCAGAATTCCCAAAATCATCTAATAAAGCAACTAATTAGACAATGTTGAAAAAAAGAGACATATAAAGCATTGCAAGCGACGTTGCTATTATTTAAACTAGTGGGAAGAGTATAGAGACTGTTTTCACAGTCCTTTTCTTTTCAAAGATGGCCACCACAGATGGCCTGCATAATAAAAGATACCATACAGACAGTCTATAGCCAGCAGCTTGAAGGAAATTTATCCAATTGCAATGGTGACTCTTTCCCAAAGACCGAAACTGTTTGTAGTGAGACAATCTTTTTGGCTCAATTCAAATAATATCAAATTCAGCATTGCAAATTCCAGCTACACACATATGATGCCAAAAGGTACCACTCCTGGTAAATCACACAACATCTGGAATTCAGCTGCATTCACACAATTTAAGCCTAATTCTGTATGTATTCATATATGTATTCACATATGAATATGAATATGAATCTTTCTACTCAAGAAAATCTGTGACCCTGAATATGAATGGTGAGTAAAGTGACATTGTCAGTGCCATATCTGTAAGACTAACAGATAGCAGTCATGTCTAAGGCTACAAAGACATTTCTGCCTGATGGAAATCCTATACAGGGATCTGTTTTTAAGGTCAGTTTTTCCTTTGAATCTTTTTGACCATTTACTGAACTCTTGCCACAGTAAGGAGTGTTGAAATAACTGCCTCCACCTTTGAGCATTGCATATCCTAGAACATTGCTCTAGGGCTCACGTTTAACAGTAAGTTTCAAGGTCCTTTTTTAGTTCCCTGGTGCCAGATTCATCAGTCTACTTTCTTCAGAGTGTTTGAAAAAATCTTCTTCATTTTTTGGAACTTTTTAGACTGTTTTTAGTTGAAACTCTAGTATTTCTTTAGTCAGGGAGACTGACATGAGCAGAATGGGTATCTGAAGTTCATTAAAAGCAAGTCATGTGGATAAGAACCTACAAAGAAAGCTATTAATAATGCCTGAGAAATCAACAAGGCTTCAGGATCTGGACAACTTATACACTTTTACATTAAATCATAGAACACAGAGCTTTCTGAATGGAGGCCAATTCCAGGGAGACAAGTGATGGCAAATGATGAGATATTATCGCATGTGCTCCTGCTTCAGTTTGTACAGATGTCATTCTATTTGTTTCAAGCTGACAGGGTCTGTTAAAGCATGATCACGAAGAAAAGGGAAGACTGGTATTTTATTTTAAGTAAAATAATACCGTAATTTTTCTTGAGGAAACCAAAGTGATACTGAAGGGAAATAGTATATTTTTTCGTGTCAATAATTACAGAAGCAACATAGCTAGCAATTTTTAACTAGCCAAAGCTAGCTGCTCCTGTGCTGATGTCTTTTTTTTTAAAAAAAACAAAAACGAAAGGATGGTACTTCAATTAGGTTAAAATCTCAAAAACAAACCTAGGTTTTTTCATTGTTACACTGCTCCTGAATATTAAAATACTAAAAATTTCAAGCTAGAAGAACACCTTCTCTATCTCTGTACACAGCTAAGCATATATGTGTGTATGCATGTATGTATACATATATATTCAGATCCATATATAACTTAACTTCATTTATTCAAGAAGTCCACTCATGATATTCAGCTTTAAAATGCTAGAAAAATGACATGGCAAAAGTTGATCAGAAAGCTTAACACAGATACTAGTGCAAATTTTAACCAGTTTTCAATTTGTCAAGAACTAAAATAAATAATAATGATATATTCCATATCATGGAATAAAACACAGCATATTCTGAGGTGGAAGGGACCCACAAGGATCATTGAGTCTAACTCTTAAGTAAATGGCCCATACAGGGATCAAACCCACAACCTTGGTGTTATTAGCACTAGGTTTTTAGCAACTGAGCTCATCTCAAGGTTGTATGGAATATATTTCATTTTATTTACCAAAAACCCAGACTTGACTTCCCTGTAACATCCACCCATAAATCATCTGCACAATTGAAAATGGCAAGCACACAAATTCCAACTGGCAAAACACCTGGGCAGAAGCTAAGACCCCAGCTTGTTTGCTTTCTTATTCTGAAACAAAAGAAAATTCCCACTGAGACAAGGAGGGGCCCAAACTTTCCCCTCAAACGAAGCAAACTCTGGACCAAAATGGTGTAAACAGTCATATGGCTCTGGAGGCCAAG